GGCTTGTCTCCCAGTATCCGGTCCAGTTCTTGGTAAAATGGAGAGGTCACACGTCCAGGATCCCTTCGTTTGTTTGAGTCTTTAGGCTCCTTGTGTTTGGCTCGCAGGATCTTTATTTTTCATTGACATTGGAGCCAGGACCATCTGTAGCCGCGCTCGGACATTTCTTTGGCAATCATTTCAAAAAACGCCTGATTCCGATCCCCCCAAATATTAATAAACTTGCAAACCTCACTTTCGCCGTGTAGGTGGGATGAATGCGCTTTGGCCGTTCAGACTGAAGTCGCATGTCAAAAGATCGGATACGTATCGGTTTTAGGAGCACATATCCAAGTGGCCTGGGTCGAATTTAAATAAAATCTGATCTTTGCCGTTCAGACTGTCATTAAAAGATCAGAAACAAGTCGCGTAGGGCCCAAAAACTCGGATTTGGGTCACTTCAGGCTGCAGTGTGAACGTAGCCTCAGTTCACTTCTTTACACTTCGACCGATCAGCTTAGAGAATCCATTTGAGCTTCCCGATCGCATGACGCAACATCAGATTCTACAACACGAACGAAGCCAGAGCACGTGTCCCTGAACCACGCAGACCTAATCGCTGGTTGAGATCAGTTCCTGGGAAAACCATGTGCCGCGGTGGTTTTGGCTCGAACAGTTTAACACTCGGCCCAATGATGTAAGTTTAATGTGAGCGTCTCTGTGTGGACTCGGCTCATCTTGAACAGCCTTAATGACAGACACGGAGCATGTGCAGATCCACTGGGGATTTCCTCTCCAGCTGCTCACACATGTTCGTAAATGTTTGTGCCAATAACCGTGACCTAATTTCCTCACTCAACCTCACTCACCTCAGAATATCATCAGCAAACCAAACTCTTTGTAATAACTACATTTCAACCGGCCTTAAAGGTGCACGGTGGAACTTTTCTGGTGGAGGGTCCGCTACCTGCTTGTCTCCGTGGAGATGTTGTTGCTTTGTCATGAATGTCCCGGTGTGGCATTAAGTATCTGGGTCTGGTCAAGTGGTAACGGAGGGAAACAGGGGCAGATTTTTGACATTCAAATGTCTCTTATTCAGAAACTAGAGGAACTATTGAAATAAGTAAAGTATCAGAATGTAGGAAAGAGTTACACTCCAACAGGGTCAAGTTAAACCTGTGATATTCTTTCAAGTTGTTGACAAAAAAATTAAAAACTCATGTCGGTAACGGAGGGAATGAAATATGCAGCACTTTTTGGGCAATAAATACAAACAGTGATAACTCTTGGTTCTCACTTCCATATCCTTAACAAACTGGTTTGAATATTTGCTTCATATAGTTTTCTACCATATGGTACAAGATTAGGTTGAAAAACTTCTTACTTTTTTATTAAGAAAGTTCATGGTAACGGAGGGAAAAGTAACAGAGGGAAAACTGTACAAACAAGTAGAAGGTGCAGGATTTTACATCATTTGTCGCTTTTTTCTTCTGAATACTTTAATATTACTTCAAAATGAAAGGAAAATATTTCTATAAAATATGTCAGTCCTTCCAAGCTAATTTTTATCATTTTAAATACTTTTTTTTTTTAAAAATCATGTACCTTCATCAACAGTTCAAAGTTGGAATAACACAAGATATGATGAAATACATCCATTTATTTACATGATTTGCAGGTTTTTGAAATTTGGGAAATAATTTTTGTTCCATGTTTCATACATGGTCTGTTTAAAACAGATGGAACTTTAGAACCAAAAATGGTACAGAAAAAAGGTCAACAGTTTCATAAACTAGAGTACATATGTATCTGTTCAATACATTTTTATATCAGATGCATTAACTTGAATTTTTGGCCGTGTTGTTTACTTCTGCTGGACTGGGACCATATGCATCTTGTATTTACTCAAAAAGTCAATGCTTTTTATTGACTTACAAAACTTGCATTCTCACAGTGAGTGGGCTCGCTTCTCCACAGATCTGAGAGAAAGATCTGACATGTAACTTGGTCCTTTGGCATCACCTGCCATCTCTGTAAATATAAATAAATATAATGCCATACTGAGGAACATTCCAGGGAACATCTCCTTGGAGAGAACCTGGTGACAGAATGTGGACAGTTTGTCAAAGCCTGATCCCGTCAGATCTCAGAATCTAAGCAGGACCGAGTCTGATCAGGACTTGGAAGGAGACACTGGGAGCCACAGGAGGCGCCAGTCACAAAAACTGTCACTGTGTCCTTCGGCAAGACACTTCACCCACACTGCCAAGTATGAAAGTGGTGTGTGTGTGAGTGATGTTGGTGGTCGCAGGGACCGATGGCGCAGGTAATGGCTACAATAGTAACTTACACCACTGAGTCTGCAGTGAGTGAATAATGTTCTGTAAAGCGTCTTTTTGACAAATGTCTGTGAAAAGTGCTATATAAATAAAAACTTATTCACTAGCTTGGACCACACCGACAACGACAAAGAAGTTTATTGATAATGTACGACGCGGGGCAGAGATGGCCGGGTTGAGACTCTAGGCAGGGGCTCCGTCTCAGTCTTCAGTTGGCCCAGCCGGAACAGGACCCCCCTCGTAGGCGTCTTATGACTGAAAGACAAAATAGGGGATGGGAGGGTGGGGTCGAGTCAGTCGAGACAAACTGGGATGATGGGAAAGGCTGCTACATATAGGCGAGTTTCAGCTGACGTCATTGTTATTAAAAGCCCGTGTTGCATGCTGGGAAATAGTTTGGTCGGAGGCAAGAAACACGGTAGCGTCAAACACAGTGCGTAACCTCGCGTATAAATTCCTGCTGCATTATCGGATGCACAAATAGAAGCACGGAAGAAGGAAAATGTCTTTTTCGTATTCTGAGTGAAAAGATCCGCTAACGGTGAATTAAACGACTTTCAAACATCCGCAGAGCAAACGTAGAAGATCCTAACAAACCGTGGACTCCAACAAGTTCAACGACACATCGAGACTCTTGGAGGTTTTCATCTTTTCTGCTGTGAATGGCCCAGGAGTTTCCACCAAGTCATTGTGGATATCGCCCAAGTGAATATTTGTCCAGGTAGTTGGAGATTCTGACCAGAAATTTGGTTTGGTCCACCTTTTGTCGGGGTTGAAAAGGGTGATTTGTCGTCCGTCGATGCTTATGACCAATTTCTGGTCAAATGGTCTTGGGTCCTCTGCCGTTAGAGTGGATAAATAACCGGGATCAATACCCTTTACGTGCTTTCTCGCTCCGTCCGTCATGTTGAATTAGTGTTTCTTGCCGCCGACCAAAATAATTCCCAGCATGCAACGCACGCTTTTGTCAACAATGAAACTGGCCTATAGGCTTCTGGGAAATTGGAGGCGTGGTCGAGGTGAGTTGTGGTGAGAGGAGAGGGCGGCTGAGGCGTGGTCCTGCTCCTGAATCTCACTTAATCATATTAACTACACCTTACAGAAAAGTTACACAGTGCACAGACGTAATTCATAAAGAACTAACAGTTTGTTAAGAATGATTCATGTTTAGTAACTACTTCATTAAAAGTGTAGGAGTTGTTATTGTTGTTGTTATAAGAACCATATGACACTGTTTTCTGATTTATGTTATAATGTTGTTTTCTCATCACAAACAGACCTGGACTTGTGTTTTGTTTCATTCACACACTTTTCTCAGAACAGAAAACACTCTGTTCCTCCTTGTGTAATAATACAGCAAGTGCTCCACTGTGTTTTTAAACTCCACACACCTTCACTAGAATCACTGGGGTCTTCACTAAACTAAATGTAAAAGGAGCTGTTAACTTAAAGCGGTAAACTATCGCTTCATGACATCACAAGGTGGAACAGAGCATTTTGAGCTTTGAAGATGTGTTACTCAAACATGTGTGAATGAAACTAAACAGAACTCCAACTCTGTTTGCACTAGAGTCAGTTTTGTATAATGCATGACCTTTAACAGCTCCTTTTACCTTCAGTAGTTCAGTAGAAATTATCAGTTCCAAGGCTGAAATTCTCCAAATGATTCAAGTGAAAGCATTTGGAGTTTTAAAACTGTACTACACGCGAAACTATGTGAACAGATAACAAAAGTGTGACCTATTTTCCTTATTCAAACTCCTCTGCTGCATAAAATCTCCATTCTAAAACCCACTAACTTCATTAAAACTCCATCCTGACGCCGCGTTCTGCCCCCGAAAGGTGAATTTCCAATGCGTTTCTCACCTATAGATGTAATATACACAGTTGCAGTCATCGTTTCTGCACTTTTTGTCATGACTTTGCAGGAATAACTTTTGGTTTCGAACACTGGGGTTAAAAACATTCATAAGTTTTATTAAAATATGCAAATGTGAACGCACCGCAGTCGGTTGTTGACAAATAAGTTACATATAGAACCTGCACAGATCAGCGTTTATACAACAGATTCAAAACGTGCCCGAAAAAAGACAGAAAAATACAGAGTGTGCTTTATAAGAAACATACAAAATCCATATCCTCTTTTATCAGTTATTAAGTTAAACAATATTTTCTTACAAAGAGTTCGGCAGCGTGACATCGGCTGTCATTGTCACAAGGCGGAAATGAAATGAAAATTAAAGGTACAGTGTGTAATTTTCTGGAAGTGGCTGCAGGTTGTCGTGGAATTAGAAAATTAAAACCATGATTTGGAACATTCTCCACTGAGATTGAAGCCACTGCGAAACGGCGTATTTTTGTGGAATCAACAATGGAAGCACCAAAAAATATTTATCTCAAGTAAAAGAAAATCTGTGTATCATTCGTTTTTCAAAATAAAACCAAAGAGAAAGCAAAGAAAACGAAAAATACAACAATTTTCTTCATTATTTGTGTCCAAAACTAAAATGAAAAACAGATGACAATTAGTTTTTTCAGTTTTCGATTTTGTGTTTAAATGAAGAATGGAAAAAACAGATAATGTTTCCCGTTTTTGTGACTTAAACTGCGATGCCGGACTGAACCAGGACTAAACCAGGACTAAACCAGGACTAAACCAGGACTAAACCATTTTCAGTCCTGGTCTGGTCCCAATCTCAGCCCTGGTCTGGTCCTGGTCTCAGCCTCGGTCTGGTCCCATTCTCAGTCCTGGTCTTGTCCCGATCTGGTCCTAGTCTCAGTCCCGGTCTCGATCATGGTCTGGTCCTGGTCTCAGTCTCAGTCTGGTTGCGGTCTAAGTCCTGGTCTCAGTCCTGGTCGAGTCCTAATTTAGCTGTAGTTTCGATATTTTTATGATGGTTTTAGTCAAGGTTAGTCTTGGTTTAGTCGTGATCTAGGTTTGGTTCTGATTTAGTCCTCGTCTAAACCCTGATCTAGGTCTGGTTAAATCCTGGTTTAGTCCTGGTTCAGTCCATGTTCAGTCCTATTTTAGCTGTAGTTTCGAATTATTTATGCTGGTTTTACTGGTGGTTAGTTTTGGTTTAGTCCTGGTCTAGGTTTGTTTATGATTTAGTCCTGATTAAGCAAAACCAAAAAAGTTACACAGTGTACCTTTAATTCTTTAAATTTTTACAGTATTTGTTCAGTAGTACTTGAACAAAACTGGCATAAAAGTTGTAACTTGTGTAATTAAAAAGAAAAAAATAAATACAAAATTCTTCAACTCTGTGTCAATTTTATTAAATTTTTTCTAGTTTGTACAAAGATTTAACCAAGCGCAAAAATGTACCTGAAAGTGCATGTCTTTTTCTACTTAACTAGTTTAATTTCTTACAACTTATTAAAGTTTCTACCAATTTGAGAACTTTAAAAAAAACGTTGAGATGTTGTCTGAAAAAAACCCCCACACAAAATAATTTACAAATCGTCTTAGTTGTTAAATATTGTCGGTAAATTCCACCATGTTTAAAAAAACTCAATTAGTGTTAACATTTGTTTTATTCCCAAAAGGCTCTTAGTTCATCGAGTCCATTTTGCATTTGAGAATCCGTTAAAAATTTTCTTCTCGGCACGTCGCGAGTGTCCGTTTTATTTTCGTCTCGTAACAGCAGTCCAGTTACTCGGCGTTGGCAGTTTCTCGGGCAGTTACAGTGAAATTTCCTCTTAGTAAACATTTAAATACGTCGTTTTCGAATCCACCCCGATCGCGTTCCTCGCCGTGCATTTGTAAACGCCGGCGTCTTTTAGCGAAGGGTTTTGGATCACGAGCGAACCCTGCGGCTGGAGGTACTTGTTCCCGAACAGTCGAGGCTGCGCGGTGACGACCAGCCTCGCTTTGTCCGGCGTCTCCCAGGCCACTTCCACTTTGGGAATTCCGGTAGCGGCGCAGTTCAGCTGTATCGCCACGCCGCGTTTCGCATACGTCACCGAATTTGGTCCGTTTGTGATTCGCGGAGGGTACGCTATTACGATAACGGAGACGGACATAACAGAGCTACCGTACTCGTTTGCCGCTCTGCACGCGTACAAACCTCTGTCGTAAACGCTGACTTGCTTTATCGCCAGCGTTCCGTTTTGCAGCACGGAATACCTCCCAGCTTTTTGTGGACGATTCAAAACAACTCCACTCGGTAGCGTCCACGTTAGCCGTAGCGGATCTCCGTTTGTAACGCAATGCAGCATCAGCGTATCGCCGTTCAAAACATTAACTGGTGACTCGTATTTATTCGCGATCACGGGTTTCCTTCCGGGCGTCAACTGTACGAACTGCTCGACTTGGCTAGTGCTGCTACGTCCTAAACATCGGTACGTACCCGCTTCCGCTAACGAAGGGTTGCTAATTATCAACGAGCCATCTGGACGGTGGAAAAACTTCGCCAATCGCGCGCCGCTGAGCAAAGGCGTCCCGTTCGGAAGCACCCACGTTATCTGTTTAACGTTATTCCCGTCAAACGAGCAATTCAGAGTCATCGCGTTGCCGGCGGTCAGCGACACGTCGTCCAGCTGCGTCCCGGAAGCCTGCGTTCTAGCGTCGGCGTCTTTAACGTCGAGGCTAACCGCTAATCTGACCTCGCCGCCTTCGTTTCGCGCGATGCAAGCGAGCTGGCCCGAATCGCTCGTTTTCGCCGATCGGATTTCCAAGCTTCCATTCTGAAAAACGGTAATCCGGTTGCTGTAATACGGAGCGGGGAGGATCACGTTCCCGGGCAGCACCCACATAATTCTGGGATTCGGCGTTCCCGTGGCGACACAATCCAACAAAATCCTATCGTTTTGAAATTTGGAAACTTTAAAATTATTTCCGTCGTTGCTAATGACAGGAGGCGTCACCAAAACTTCGACTTTTACGATCTTGTTGTCTTGTCCGTAACTGTTCCGTGCGACGCAGGTGTAGTCCCCGGCGTCGAAACGTTGAACTCTCTGCACAGTCAGCGTCCCGTTGTTGAAAACTTGATATTTTTCCTCTTTCGAATCGATTATCCGGTTCATCGGCGATATCCAGGTGTACGTAGGGTTCGGGTCACCTTTAGCGTGGCATTGTAAGGTTACGTTTTCGCCGTAGATAACTTGAACCGGCGAAATTTCTGTTTTGTTTTGGATTTGCGGGGAAGACGAGGCAGATTTGACCTTCACATGGATTTTCATTTCGTCTTTTCCGAGCTGGTTTTCGGCGTAGCAGGTGTAGTCGCCCTCCTCCCTCATCCCCACGTCGTTGAAGAAGAGAGTGCCGTTGTCAAACACGACGTACCTAAAAAAAAAAAAAAAAAAAAAAAAGTCAGTCAGTTTTTACTTCTGCTGCTAACATAAAACATATTTAAATCACCATTGTTTTGAAAATTCTATATTCGTATATTCACAAAAAACTATTTATTAACATGTGTACTAAGTTTCATTTTCACTTTTGATGCTCTGGATCAAATCAGGTTTGTGAAGTTGTATGTACACTTCTGTATATTTGTTTTTATCTATTTATGGAGAATTTAAAAATCCTTAAATCTTTCTTGAAATCTTTAAATTATCCACTGTTTTTATTAAATTATCCACATTTTTCTTAAATTATTCACAAATTTTAAATTATCCTCATTTTTTATTAAATTATCCACTGTTTTTATTAAATATCAACATTTTTTTTTATTAAATAATTCACAGTTTTTATTAAATAATTCACTTTAAAAAAAAAAAAAATTATTCACAGATTTTATTTAATTATCAAATTTTTTAAAATTAAATTATTCACAGTTTTTATTAAATTATCCTAATTTTTTTATTTAATTATTCACAGTTTTTATTAAATTATCCCCTTTTTTAAATTAAATTATTCACTGTTTTTATTCAATTATAATTTTTTAAAATTTAATTATTTACTGTTTTTATACAATTATTCACAGTTTTTTTTATTTTTTTTTTTATTAAATTATTCACTGTGTTGAGTTTATAAGCACTTTCTGCAACTTTAAGAGACCAGGGCAGAGTTTAGCTCTGGCAGTAAAGCTAACAACACTTAGCATGCTAACAGCACACTTCCTGATTCTTAAACAACATTCTAGGACAATGCTAACAGCACACTTCCTGATTCTTGGACAATAAAATGCTATCTAATTAGATGCGATAGAGTGTAAACTGACTGAGAGTTTTACGTAAGGGTGAGTTGTTGTACAGTAGTAGGGAGTATTATCTGTTACATAATACAGTTGTAGGGAGTATTATCTGTTACATAATACAGTAGTAGGGAGTATTATCTGTTACATAATACAGTTGTAGGGAGTATTATCTGTTACATAATACAGTAGTAGGGAGTATTATCTGTTACATAATACAGTAGTAGGGAGTATTATCTGTTACATAATACAGTTGTAGGGAGTATTATCTGTTACATAATACAGTAGTAGGGAGTATTATCTGTTACATAATACAGTAGTAGGGAGTATTATCTGTTACATAATACAGTAGTAGGGAGTATTATCTGTTACATAATACAGTTGTAGGGAGTATTATCTGTTACATAATACAGTAGTAGGGAGTATTATCTGTTACATAATACAGTAGTAGGGAGTATTATCTGTTACATAATACAGTTGTAGGGAGTATTATCTGTTACATAATACAGTAGTAGGGAGTATTATCTGTTACATAATACAGTAGTAGGGAGTATTATCTGTTACATAATACAGTTGTAGGGAGTATTATCTGTTACATAATACAGTAGTAGGGAGTATTATCTGTTACATAATACAGTAGTAGGGAGTATTATCTGTTACATAATACAGTTGTAGGGAGTATTATCTGTTACATAATACAGTTGTAGGGAGTATTATCTGTCGCATAAAGCTTGTCTACATTGATAAAGTTAAGTTAAGGCCTTTTCAGAGAACATTTTAGGCGAAAGTGAAAACGTTTCCATCGAGAAAAGCAGGAAATGGAGCGTCTACCGAAAAAGTTACACAGTGCACCTTTAAGTATCTTTAATTAAACTGCCTGAAATGACGGTGTAAACATTGTAAAATAACGTGACAGTGCACAGCGGACGATTCCACCTCAAGAGCGGCTTATACAAGAGACGTTTTACTCAAATACACGGGAAAAAAGAACTCAATGATTAGTGTATCTACTCATGCATTAGCCTTTGTGTACCAAAACTACAGCAACGGGCCAAAGACGGAGATCTCTATTAAACTCCACTTTCTGTATTTGCTTCTCCAAGGTTCCTCTCGTGTCTCTGATGTATGGACTTAATCGGATCAAGAATTTCAAGAGACACTCCGCTCCCTTTATCTAACATGGCCTTACATAACTCGGATTTCTTTTTAGCGATAAAAAGAAAAAAAACCTTAGAAAATAAATGCGAGTGCGGAGAATAAAAGCGCTTTTTGAAAAAAACGTCGACCTTGCGGTGCATTTTCGAAAGGGTTACTTAAGCTTTGATATAATGGATAAATGATGAATTAAACGTATTGTGGGGAGGGTCAAGGATTTCGACGCTAAGTAATGGCAAGAAACAAGAAGGAGGACGGTGAGTGCTACCAGAAAATGTCACAAAAAGTACAGACAAGTTTTGAAATGGAAAAAAAAAAAAAAAAAATCTGACAAGAAAGAAATTTAGTCAATATATCACACAAAAACGGTTAATGGGCCCGTATTACGCTATTTTCTGATCTAATATAGTTTCCTCATCACAAGTTCTTCTCTCAAACTGTTAAAACACTCTCTTCCACCTTGTGATGTCATATGGTAATAATACAGGAAGTGCTCCACTGTGTTTTTAAACTCCACACACCTTCACTAGAATTATTTGGATGATTTCAGCTCTGGAATTGCCAAAGTTAAAGGTTGTATAGAGGATTTTTTAAGGGAAGAGAAATACAGCGACAGTCCTTTTTCAAATGTTGTGCATGTGTGACACCACCTTCCTCCTCCACAGCCTCAGTAGAAACATCTCCTCCTCCCGCCTCTTTACTCTAGAAATCATACTTGTTTACAGCCAGTGCGTGTTCAGAATTACCGTTGAAGTGACCTGTCTAGAAATAATTTAGCGACCGACACGTCAGTTTTTAGATCCTTTGTCTGCTTCATTCGCGCCATCGCTGGACGAGATCTCCAAGAATCACCTCAGTTTGGCTTCGTTTCATTTCCCCTTCTCTTCTTCTCTCAGCGACATCAAAAACTGATTTTCTCTTGCGGCGAACCGGTCGTGGATTCTCGTCCACCATCTCAACAAACTTTGTGAGAACTGTGAGGAACCTACAGTTTAAAAAAGCCTTTAAGAACCGCTGCGTAAACCGCGTAATCCCCGCTCGCCGACGAGTCAGTTACACTAGAAACGTAGGGAGTTTGATTGACAACCTAACAGCCAATAGAAAATGAGGCAGCCTCGTTATTGGCTGATGTTTGTCTGGCCTCAACACGTCCACAGTTGATTGATTTTTATTCTTTTTTTTTTTTGGTCATAATTACAAGGCTGCTGCGTCTCTGTAATGGTATTTTAAACTTTCATTGACAATTTGAAACAAAACAAAATCCTCCATACAACCTTTAAAAGGTAAAAGTTAAAGCTGTGAACTTGAAAACTACTGCTTTATAACATCACAAGGTGGAACAGAGCATTTTGAGTTTTGGAGGTGCAGATAGATGATCATATTTTTTGGACTATAAGCACTTTTTTTCCATGGTTTGGGTTGTCTGGCGAAAATACATGCATCCTCAATTTCGGACTTCCGGTCATGGCGCAATCCACATACTGGGAAGGATCCTCCGATAAAGTGAGCGTCAAACCGTCATGTTTGTTTTCCCAGTGGGATGCGTCTATTGTCAAAGTCGATCTTTTCAAGTCTTTTGAACCATATTGCGTTGGTTTCTGGTTCTGATATGGTCATATTTTAGTTTTGGGATTCGGACATCGAAATTGTGTGGATCCTAACAGCAGAAAACGGCTCAAGAAATGGGCTCCACGTACAAAATGTTGGCTGCAAACTCGGATGATTTTTTAGGCAGCCAAAGATTTCCTTGTTCGTCCTTCCTGTGGATCAATACTGCCCATCGCCTTCACCTTCACTATTTTTTTTCCTCGTAAACTTCCAAAGCCCATTTCTTGAGCCGTTTTCCGCTGTTAGAACATCCAACAACCACACAATTACGATGTCCGAATCCCAAAACTAAAATATGACCAGAAACCAGAATAGAATCGAATAGAACCAGAAACAAAAGCGATATGGTTCAAAAGACTTGAAAAGATCGACTTTGAGAATAGACGCATCCCACTGGGAAAACAAACATGACGGTTTGATGCTCACTTTTTCAGAGGATCCTTCCCAGTATGTATTGCGCGATGAATCCGGAATGCATCTATTTTCAAACTGACAGAGGGCGCTCTAGGCTTGTGTGTCAGTGTTGCTGTGAGCCGACCAAACAGAACAAAATGATGCAGCACCGGGTCAACCTCATACAGGGTCGAAGAAGCCGATACCGACATCACTCACCTGAAGGAAAAAAAACGACCCCCAAACTAAACTTACCAAACAAAAGACGAAAACTTGACAGCCGGTCCCACCAGGTCAAACACAAAAGACCAACAATCATGACCTGCGCCGAGCAACCAAGACAAAAGAGTCCACAAGGCAACGTGGAGGCGTGGAGGGCGGCATATTTATACTACGACCAGCCACGCCACAAAACATACATACATTTAAAAATACACACAATAGGCGAGTTTCAGCTGACGTCATTGTTATTAAAAGCCCGCGTTGCTGCTGGGAAATATTTTGGTCGGAGGCAAGAAACACGGTAGCGTCAAACACAGTGCGTAACCTCGCGTATTTATCCCCGATAATGGTAAATTCCTGCTGCATTATCGGATGCACAAATAGAAGCACGGAAGAAGGAAAATGTCTTTTTCGTATTCTGAGTGAAAAGAACCGCTAACGGTGAATTAAACGGCTTTCAAACATCCGCAGAGCAAACGTAGAAGATCCTAACAAACCGTGGACTCCAACAAGTTCAACAACACATCGAGACTCTTGGAGGTTTTCATCTTTTCTGCTGTGAATGGCCCAGGAGTTTCCACCAAGTCATTGTGGATATCGCCCAAGTGAATATTTGTCCAGGTAGTTGGCGATTCTGACCAGAAATTTGGTTTGGTCCAACTTTTGTCGGGGTTGAAAAGGGTGATTTGTCGTCCGTCGATGCTTATGACCAATTTCCTGGTCAAATGGTCTTGGGTCCTCTGCCGTTAGAGTGGATAAATAACCGGGATCAATACCCTTTACGTGCTTTCTCGCGCCGTCCGTCATGTTGAATTAGTGTTTCTTGCCGCCGACCAAAATAATTCCCAGCATGCAACGCGCGCTTTTGTCAACAATGAAACTCGCCTATAGGACGCACAAAGGGGCACCAGCACGTAACGCATATATTTTTAGGAAAAGCATCAAGTCTTCTCAAGTCACAGTCAAGTCCCAAGTCATTGACCTTCAAGTCGAGTCCCAAGTCTTAGTCCAGTTTATCAAGTTAAGTCTCAAGTCCTAAAAATAGTGACTCAAGTCCAAATCACTGCTTGCTCTGCCTGTAATACAAATATATGAAAGTAATTCTATTAAGCAACTATAGCCGACTTTTAAAAGACATCACAACATTATAGGCCAATATTATTTAAAAAAGATGGACGAATATTGTTAAAATGCAGATTTGTGTTGTAATACAGTGAGTTCTTGGATCTAGTCACGAATAGAAATGATCAGATTCAACATTTGTGAATTTACGTTTTGGATATTTCACGGTAAAGTACAATGTAATCAACAGGAACATCCTCGCATCCTAAAATCTGAAAACACAAACCTGCTTATGAAACATGGAAAGCGAAACAAAAATTGCACCCATTACCATTGTTATTAGACGAAAAAGAGACTCAAAAATGTAAAATTACAGCTCAGAAGAAAGTCATTTTCGAGATAATGCATTCTTTTCACATTGATTACCAGACAGACGGAGAGTGTTTTGAATAATAAAATGAAACGCAAACTAAAAAAAAACAAAAACGATGGTACCTTCTGCTGCGCCCGGCTCTGTCTCGCTGCTTCTCGTGGTTGACCATGGTCCCGTCCGGCAGGGCCCAGCTGATCTCCGGGTTGGGGAGTCCGGACGCCACGCAGTCCACCTTCAGGTCCCCTCCGTAGATCACCTCCTGGCTCGACCGTGGCTTTTTCTGCTCGATTTTCGCCGGTTTCGTCAGAACCTCGACTCCCAGGACCACGTAATCGTCTCCCATCTTGTTTCGGGCCACGCAGAGATACTCGCCGCCGTCTTTGTCAGTGACAGAGTGGACGGTTAAAGAGCCGTTGGCGCGGACTTGGATCCTCGGGTCGAAACTGAAAATAAAAGACAGAGTGAAAAGCAATGATTAATGGTTAAGGTTGCTTTATTTGTACTTGTCGGTAAATTCCTTTTTCAGTTTGAGAGGCTGGTTCCAAGTTTCACATTTAATTTATTTATACTATAGACAAAAAAACACTTTTTTTTCTCATGTATTTTAGGGTGACCATATTTCCATTTGTGAAAACCGTTTGCGTTTCTCCTTTCGCAGGCTCTCTCTCGCCCGTTTCGCAGATTTTTTCTCTCTTTTTTTTTATGTCAATTTAGTTCAGTCCTGGATTAGTCCTCCTCTTCAGTCCTGGAATCAGTCCTAGGTTAGTCCTGGGTTAGTTCTGGTTTAGTCTTAATTCAGTCCATGGTGTAGGCAGCGCAAAAGTTTGATATAATCTCAGGTTAACGGGCGGGGGGTCTCCAAAAATGGACCCGTGCAGGACTCTGCGCTGTTGGGCTCCATTACGGAATAAATTAATCTTCAGATCGTTACATAAAGAAAGAGGAAAACAACAGAAGGACGACAGCAGCAATAAGTTTTAAGAAGGATGTAAAAAGTGTTGTAACTGTCTTGTATGAGAAAAGTGTATAAAGTTTGTGCTGAGGGGTTTTACAGACTTAAAACAGATATAATAATTGTTAAATAAGTTGACTACTTTGCTGATTTCACCTACCGCGGGTTATTTTTTAGAACGTAACCTCCACGATAAACGAGGGAACACTGTACTCTCACTTCGCAACCTGTGCACATGACCTCCTGCTTGTCCCGGGATGGAAAACGGAGAATTTCTTGTACAAGTCACTGTTAAATGCGCATTTGCGTTTCGCCATGTTGCAGACTGACCGACTGTTTGTGTCTCGCTCCTTCTGAGTCACAGACGCTACGAGAGACGCTCAGTTTAATGCCCCCAATGAACGGTAAAAGAAAACCCGGACATTTGCATCACGTTAAAAAAAACCCCGGAAGCCCCAAGACAGGACGCAAAATACAGACATGTCCGGGGAAAAACGGACGTTTGGTCGCCCTAATGTATTTTGTCTTGTATAAGCAGCTCTTGAGGTCAAAATAAGTCCGCTCTGTTCTGTCTGCGTCTAATTATAAAGCGTTATATTGTCCGACAATCAAGAAGTGCACCGTCAGCATGCTAGCTGTCGTTAATTCTTTGGGAGATTTACAGTTTTTAGAAGAAATCTCGAAACTTACGATCCACAAATGTTGAACTTTCTCATTATTTGTTTGGATTTGAAGGGATTTTAACTTAAAAAAAAAAATCACGTTTGTTTAGTTACAGTGACAGAGAAAATGTTGAACTTTGTGCCAGTTTTTGTTTCATGTGGATAGACCCAAAAATTACAGAGATATGAACCATAAACCAGGTAAACAAATCTGCAAACTCCACCACAGAACTCTGACCCGTCTCCAGCTCAGTTTGAACTACAGAGATTCTACTTGTGGCGTGCGGTCAGGCCAATCAAAGCAAGCAGCGGTTGACCAAAAAAATCTAAAATCATCGTGTGTCAAAATTCTTATTAAATAGTTTTGAATTATATCCAAGTAATCACGTTTTCTTCATGAATAGAGCTGTCATATGTAGATCTAGGTTTCTCTGACTCTGTATACTGTCTACTGACATACAATCTCTCAGTAAAATAAATACCGTATTTTTTGGACTATAAGGCGCACTTTAATTTTCTCAAAAATCGACAGTGCGCCTTATAATCCGGTGCGCCTTATTCTGGTTGTGGTGGTTGAACTCGAAAAGATTTTATGTGGTAAATAACCGCGATATCAGCAGCGGTGAAACGTCGGAGCGGCGCCTGCGTAGACCGTTGGGTGATCACGGGCGAAAGGACCGCCGCAGAACTCCACGCTCCACAGGGCAAACTGCAGCTGACGCCCAATGGCATCCAAGTTCTAGTCCAAGATTAGTCCTGGTTTAGACGTGTTTTAGACCTGGTTTAGTCCTGGTTCAGTTCTGGTTCAGCTCTGGTTTAGTACTGGTTCAGTCCTGGTTTAGTCCTGGTTCAGTTCTGGTTTAGTCCTGGTTCAGTTCTGGTTTAGTCCTGGTTGAGCTCTGGTTTAGTCCTGGTTCAGTTCTGGTTTAGTCCTGGTTCAGTCCTGGTTCAGCTCTGGTTTAGTCCTGGTTCAGTTCTGGTTTAGTCCTGGTTCAGCTCTGGTTCAGTTTTAGTTTAGTCCTGGTTTAGATCTGGTTTGGTCCAAGTTCAATCCTCCTGGTTCAGTCCTTGGCTCAGTCCTTGGTTTAGTTGTGGTTTAGTCCTGACTCAGTCCTTGGTTTAGTTCTGGTTTAGTCCTGGTTCAGTCCTTGGCTCAGTCCTTGGTTTAGTCCTGGTTTAGTCCATATACAGCGCAAAAGGTCAGCATCTTTGCAGTTATTTTGATGAGAGTAACTTAAAAGTGCTGCAATAGTCTTTTACATTTATTTTACATTTTAAACACAGTTATATTATAATGTAACGAATTACTTTGAAACAGCAGTAACAAGTCATAAATAAATAACACATTACAGTTTTAAAGTCACTTGCCCAACAGTGCTAGAGACACACATAGTTATTCACATGTTCTTATCTAGACACAATAAATTTCGTATGTTTATTTTTTTTCGTACCTGTATTGTGCATCCACTAGTTTCTTGGACGGCATTCTCCAGATCACTCTTGGCTCTGGATCTCCTTTGGCCACACAGTCCAGCTTCAGCTTCCCTCCGTAAACCACCCGCGTCAACTTCGGCGACGCCATTGTGATGCTAGCTTTAGCCATTAGCATCCTACTCTTCACAAACAAGTTCACCATCCTCTTGCTCGTCCCCATCACGTTACTCGCCAAACACTGATACTTTCCCGCGTTTCCTTGGGTTAAATTTTCGATTATGAGCGTACCATTTGGAAAAACTCTTAAATTTTGTCCGATTAAGTATTGCGACGACGCTAGCTGGATGTTATCTGGCGTAATCCACCGTATCGTTGGTTGGGGCGATCCGCTAGCGGTGCAATCCAAGTAGACGGCGCCGTTTTCGCTTGCGGTGACGTTTTCAATCGGCGTTTGCTGAAAAATCGGCGGCAAAGACGAAACATACAGCCTTATCGAAACCGTGTCCGCTCCCGACGTACTGCTACCCACGCATTTGTAAATCCCTCGGTCGGAAAAAACAGCTTGGACAATTCGCAGAGTACCGTTTTGTAAAATGCTGACGCGGTTTGAAGCTAGTCCGAAAGGCGTAGCAGCCATTTGGGCGTGGTTCGGGAGCACCCATGTCACTCTAGGTTTAGGGTGTCCTTCAACTTGGCAGTCTAAATCAACGCTGGATCCTAAGTTCACAGAGATGTCGCGGTGTCGAGGTTGGAGGATTTTCGGGTGTTGGGAAAGCACCACGAGGTTGGTGAGCATCTCGTCGGAGCCGTACTGGTTCTGAACGGTGCAGAGATATTCTCCGCCGTCCACTGGTTGGATGTTTCGGATGATGAGAGTCCCGTTTTTGTGCACTTCGTATCGTTGCAGTTTGGTGTTCTGAGGGATACTCGTACCTGAAAAAAAGAAAGAAAAAATACTTTAACTTTCGTAATATTATTTACCAGAAACTTAACACAATCCAGAGAAAAACAGACTTATATACTGTACATATGCGATTAATCTAAAAGTCCTATATAAAGTAAAAATTGACTCTTGTGAGCTTCAAGTCGTGTTATAATGTTGTTACCTCCTCAAAAACAGACCTGGAGTTGTGTTTTATTTCATTCACACATATTTGAGTAACACTTAATTTAGAGCAGGGGTCACCAACACGGCGCTCGCGGGCACCAGGTCGCTTCAAATACTACATGAGTCGCCCGCAGGCCGGTTGTAAAAATAGCACAACTCATTAGTGCGCTACATCTAAAATGTCATTTTATTCTGTTGCTATTCTTTTTTTAATCTCCCTTGCATTTATTTAGATTTAAAATAATGAGAACTTTGCACATCAGTTACTTGAGACGGGTGCGTTGGAGGAGAGGGAGCAGCCCAAGAACATAGAGAATATTCCCGCACACTGCCTTACTTGCAAATTGTGAGATTTATCAGGCATTTATCAAGCAAACAGGCTGCCTGTTGAAGGCCTAGTGCCGAAACGTTGCACGGTTTGTCCTAATAAATCTCACAATTTGCAAATGAGACGGTGTGCGGGATTTTCCTTTATATTTATTTAGATTTAAAAATGACAGTATCTTAAAAATATGTTCATTATACATGAAGTTTAGATAAGAGATTTAGATGAGCTGTTTTTTTTTTTTGTTTTTTTTTCAGCACTTACAGTTTATGCAAATGAGCCATGTGGTTTTAGTTTTGTTTCTCTAAAACGTAAACAAATGTGTCAAAGCTGAATTAAACACATTATAATCTCCAACAGGCTGATGTGGCTCTATAGTGGTTTTGGTTTTTATGTTGTAAAGTTGAGTAAAGATTTTAATATAAGAATCTGCTGCAGTGTAGAATTTGTACAATAGTGTTTGGAAACGTGGATCTGTGAAGTGGAGTGAGATTCCTCATACGGCTTTTTACCACTGGTTCGGAATCTTGTGAGTTTCCTCTGCTAAAAGAGCTCATGGTTGTTTGTATTTTTCCTGATTCATCCAAAACCAGTGATTTGTCCCAGTTTGAGAGAAGAAATGTCCCAGGTGTCCCTATTTCTGACCAATCTGATCCCTGCAAAAAGTAAAAAGAGGCATAAATTGCCCCCTGTTTAAGTAAAATACAGAAAAGCTGCTTAAAACGACCAAAGCACAAAGAAACTGACTGTACTGACTCACATGTTTGTCATGAATGAGCCAGATGTATTTTTATATTTTAAGTACAAATAGTCTTTTTCCACTGGCAGATCATTTTACTTGTCAAGTGAAATTTACTCAAATCATGATAAAACTTTCTTAATTCAATTCATCTTAACTTGACTTTTTTGCAGTGTGCTCCTTTTACTTTAAATGTATTAGAGATCGGCAAATCCAGGGCTGAAATAATCCACACGATTTTAGTGATTCAAGGAAATTGAAACATATTGCACCTTTTGCCATAGCGATGCAGAATCCATCCCCCATCTCTTTTATTACTGTAAATACTCAAAGGAACTCTGGTCAAATTTAGAAACACGTATTCTGGAAAAAACATCTGTCAGAATTCATTTGGACTGCTCAAGCATAATAACCCACTTCCACTTTCTTTAAACAGTATAAAACTGAATATTTAGTAAACCCGTTCGTTCTGTTGGGAAAATTTCATATCCGTAAATCCAAATTCTCTAGTTCCAGTTTCAAAATCATTATCCTAGACATCAAGAACTATCTTCAAACCCTAAAAATTTTTTTCTATCAAAACACTCAAATTTTTAACCACTTCCTCAGTTTCTTGTATTGATTTCTTTGTACACATTATCTGCCTCGGTTTAAGTTTACATACATGTCAATTTTGTTTTTGTTTTGTTTTGGCTTTAAATTATGAGTTTAAAGTCACAGTGAACCCATGACATTACCCCATGACATCACAAGGTGGAACAGAGACCCCGTTTACACTGAAACGAATCTGCATCCACACACACGTCTGCAAGTCTTCCCTAGCCACACAGCTTTGAGCATATTTGTTTACGTTTTACAGAAACAAAACTTAAAACCACATGGCTCATTTGCATAAAAGCTTCTGTTCAGACTCAGTGGAATATGAGTGTTCTTTCTGTGACAGAGGGGTGTTCTGCTGATGGTGAGTCTGTTCTGTGTTTCTGTCGCGTTGGAGATGGTTCATGTTAAACTTTTCAGAGATTCTACGTCTGCAGGTCGTACACACAGACCGTAATATATGAATATTTTCTAGCCTCTTAGCGTTTTGGCAGTGAATTACCTACTTTGCGGTACACAGAACTACATCAGCGTATCAGCGTTTTCAGGTGTCCACACGGTGCCGGATCAGATCTGTACTCAGATGAATTCGTGGGAGCTGGCGGCACCAGATCGTTCCGTCTCTGGAGCCGTATTAATGTGGACGAACACTGCGTCCACAATGAAAACAACTCGAATACAAACTAGTGTGGATGGGGCTAGAGTGTTTTCCATTTGAGAGAAGAAACCTAAAGTCTAAATCTGTAGGTTTGTGCGTTAAACATGTGTGAATGAAACAAAACACAACTCCAGGTCTGTTTGTGATGAGGAAACTACATTAAAACATAAATCAGAAAATAGCGTAATATGGACCCTTTAAGAAACATACACATTTATATTGTTTATCATTTCAGTGCAAATATTTAAAATAATTACATTAACTTTAAAACACTCTTGCACTGCCTCTTATCGCATTCAGTTAAAATATGTTCACCGAAAAAAAAAAAAATCTCTCGTAAATTCTCTCTCTGCATCTGTTCAGTGCCATGCCATCTTCCCACAACATCACTTCCAATCTATTACAAAAATGTCTTGACTCTGCCACAATTCGCCAAGGCTAAGCTGCGAAAACGCCGGCTGTTAAACGCTAAATTACGAGCTAGCTGCACTCTGACTCATACGTACCGGTTGAAACTTTAGTCCAGGACAGGAAAGGTTTGGGTTCTCCGTTGGCAGCGCAGGGAAGTATGGCATCTGTTTCCGCTTTTACGCTCATAATTTGGAAATTACCCTTGGTTATCCTTGGCTTCCCCCTCGGATAAGTGGCTAAGGCGGGTGGCTTTGACGTCGTGCTAGCTCGCGGCGCTTCTTCTGTCCACAATTTAGCCCGGAATGGGGTAAACGTCGGGGCAGGGGTGGTCTCCGAGTTGATTGTAGGTACGCTCCGATTTAAGCTAATAAATTGGTTCATTCTGTGGTCGGGCGACTGGGTTACGGGATCCGAAAGCGCTGATTTAGCTCGAGTTGGTCGCTGGGTGGCATCCGTTGTAGGTGCGACAGACGTTGTTAGCGATTTAGCTTGAGTACTTTGGTCTAGTTTAGGGCTAACGCTAACGCTAACCGCTTGTTGGGTGGTATTTATTGCGAGTCTTGGAACTAAAGATGAATTTTGTACAGAAATACGAGAAGAATTTGTTGGTTTAGCTGCAATAATTTCATCTTCTTTTACGATTTTCGAACTAGTTGTGACGCTAGGAACTTTACGCGTTGTGTAAGTTAGCATAGTTGGCGTTATTGTCGATTTTAAAACAGGATTCGGGGAAGACATTAGCGTATTTGTTTCGTTGTCTTGTTTTTTATCGTCATTTCTTGGGCTAACTTTAGTCGTTGGCGCTTGTTTTGTTGTTACATTAAAAAACGAAGACGGGATTGTTGTTTTAGCATTTTTAGTGCTAACGCTAACACTAGGAGGAGGCAGAGTAGATGCCGCTATTGTCGTTTTAGCGTTAGTAATTTGCAAAGACATAGAAGTGGTTGGACTAGGCTGGTCTTGACTGACATTTAAAATAACGGGAATACTAGTAGCTTGCTTGTTAGCATTTTGGGATAAAATGACTTGCGTTTTTTGATCTTTATTGAAATTTTCGGGGCTTTTGCTAATGTCTGTCGCGTGTTTAGTCGTATCTGTTAATAGATGAGTCGTTAAAGTTGTTTTTGGTGGGAGTATATTAGAATAGGTTACTGATTCGGTTTGTTTACGGGGCGTTTTTGTGCTGCTGCTAACGGTAATAGCTTGTTTGGTGGTACTTTTTAACTTAGCTTCAGCGGCGGCCATTTTGGTAAGGTCGTAATTTAAAGTAGTCGCCATTAAAGCCGTTGTAGACGCCGTTACACTTGCGTTTTCAGCATTATCCAGTCTATTATCTTGAATCAAAGCCTCGGAGGAGTTTTCTGGCCTTTTCGTAACTGCTTGTATTTCAAAATCGATGCGTGTTGTGGCCAGTAAAGCACCTGTATCTCCGAAATGGTGCATCTCCTCCGCTTTATGCTCCGTTAAGGAAGCCAACGAAGAAGAACGCCTCGGTAACTGCTCCCCGGTCCCATTCACAAGATGTTTCTGTCCCCTGGGGCCCGTATATCTTTGGCGCGATTGAATTAACTTCCTCTTTGCGTGTCTAAGCTTCTCGGAGGGCCTTTCTGTTAGAGCGTTTTCCATCGGCGGCCGGGATACGGGTTTAACAGGTGGCAGTGGCTCGTGGCTCGTAAATGTTCGCGCAGGTTTTGACGGGACCGTGTCCAGTCTCGTCTCTGGGAAAGCAGTCGGGCTCGAACCTTGTACTACATTGTTATCATTTATCTTTGTTTTCGTGTTGCTTTCTGTTAGTTTCTGGCTCCCGCTGCTTGCCGTAGACTCATTTTCTCGTGGTACAGTTGGCTCCAAACTCTCAGGAACTTCTATTTCTAGCTCTGTAGGCATGACGCTGACTTGGCCAACCTTTTCATCAGTTATAACATTATTTTTAGTATGTTTGTTTATCTTATTTTTATGCCTGTTTGGATTCTTTTTACGATTTCCATTGCGTCTTCTCGTCGGTTGAAGTGTGCTGCTTGTTGGCTTTTTCCATATTTGCGCGGTTGTCGGGGAAACTAAATCAATAATGGCTTCAATTTGTAACAGTCCCACATCTTTTGGCTCTTGTGGTATTATTTCATCCTCCCTTTTTGATGTAACTGGGTCAACCGTTGGAAGCACTTGCCCCGTTTTAACCTTTCTGTGGAATTTGGAAATTTTACTTTTATTCCTGCGATTTCCTTTCGCTTTAGCTCTTCTGGGATCAGCTGCTCTGCCTCCTTTGACTTCACTGTCCTCATGGTGGGAATAAGTTGCGCTCTTGCCTGGAGTGTTTAGGACTTCCTGCCAAAATTTGACAACTTGAAATGGCCGAGAAGTGGTTTGTGGGAGGAAAAACACATTGCTAGAAGTAGTCGCTTGCAAATTGGGGAAATTTGGTGATGTCATGGGCTTTAGGGTTGTTGTATGCGAGCCGTATGCGTTTTCTCGTGTAGGCATAGTCGTCGTCGTTAATTCGTGGGGAGCTTTTTCACTCAAAGTCACTCCGTCTGACGATCCTTCGATAGTTTCATGGGATAAAGTTGTTAAAAATTGGGTTGTGTATTGTTGGGAGGTTGTCTCTTTTTGCAGCGAAGTTGTCAACTCTTGAAACGGCGTTGTGATTTTTGGCGTCGTTGCGATTACCGGCGAAACCGTAGTCGCAAACTGCCCGTTCTTGATGCGAATCTTTGCCAAAATGTCCGCCCATCTCTCCGGGTTTATCTTCGTTTTTGACATGTTCATTCTTCTGCGGCTATCTAAAATATTCCTTCCGTTTTGCGGGTTTTGCGAAGCCGGTTTTCGCATTATGATGGGAGGTCTGCGCCACGGAGTTCTGGAGGACGGAGGCGTGCCGTTTCGAACCGGGACTACTTTGCGTACAGGCTTCGAATCCGTAGCGTCCTCAGTTTCGCCAGATCCTTCGTCTAAATCTGGAATCGGAACTTTAATTTTTGTGTTTACCCCAGACGCAGATTGTGGTCTTAACGGAAATCTTCGTATAGGCTTAACCATCCCCGGACGTTTATTCACGGTGACTTTCGACGTTTTCGTGTCCACGCCGTATTGATTCAAAACTACACATTTGTAAACTCCGCTGTCGGGAGGCAAACTTTGCGCGATATGAAGCGTTCCATTGGGAAAAACTAAAACTCGTGATGTGTTCGATTTAAAACTTATGATATTTCCGTTCGGGATAATCCAGTTGACTTCCGGATCCGGTGAACCAAAAGCGTTGCAATCGAGATTTAACGAATTTCCAGCTAACAACTCAATAGACGGTGAAGCTTCGTCGTCTCCTGGTTGCGGGTTGGACGGATCTTGTATGCTGACGTAAACTGGTAAAATCGCAATGTCTTCATCGACTTTAGCAACGCAATAATAGTTCCCGCCGTCTTTATGCTCGGCCGTTTTGATTTCAAGCTTCCCGTCTGCGGAAATGGACAGTCTTTCATCGGAATTATCACTCGGAGCTACTAACTTTTTCCCGTCCGGTAGAATCCACGTTATGACCGGCTCACCCGAACTCTGAACGTGACATTGCAAGTCAAAACTTTTGCCTAAAATCGCCGTTTTAAAACTGGAATTCGATTCTTCGATCGTAACCCACGTTCTGACTTCTCTTCGAATCATTTCCGTTTCCAGATTTTGCGATAGTTGCGTCGTAAAACTTAGCTTAACTCTTTTTCCGGACGATCCTTGCCGGTTTAGCTGTAAATCCGCGTACGACTGCATCAGCCAAGACGGTAGCGCCATAACGTTTGCTTTGACTCCCGTGTAATACAGCGCATCCTTATCCGAATCCTGCTTGTAAACGTACGTCGGGTATGGATTTTTCTTGAGCATAATCCCTCTTTTTAAATGCGCCGGGACGCTTGTGTAATACGCGATCAACCTCCATAAACGTTCGTATTTTTCTCTGTCAACGTCGCAATCCAAATCGAGCGAAAGTGTGATGTTGCTCGCCATTTTTGCGTCGTCGATTTGCTCAAAGCTGATTTTGCCGCCGTCCTTCGGTTCGCCGACGCCGCACTCGAGCTCCACCTCGTTGCCGTGTTCGTCGGATAATCCAAGAGAGATATTTCCGAACGGTTGCTTGAAATCGTCCAGAAACGTGAATTCGTGGTTGGTTTCTTCGGGTTTCGAGTGCTGATCTTTGGAGTTGATGACGGGGCCGCTGCAGATCATGTTGTCCAGAGCCTGAAGAGGTTTCTGGTGGAGATTTCGTGGAGAAGAGCAGATCGGACAAAGTTGACCTCCAGGTAAAGCTCGGTCCTTTTTACACTTCAATACACCTGTAAGAAATAAAAAAACAGACAAATATAATCTTACCAAGAGTGAGTTTGCTGTTAAAGTAGCACTATGTAACTTTTGAGTTTGCACCTTTAACAATTTGGCCTGAACAAAAAAACAAAACAAAAAAAACATGACAGACAAGGGTTCAGACATGGGTTAGTCCTGGTTTAAGTCTGGTTTAGATTTGTGTTAGACCTTAGTAAATCTGGGTTTAGTCCAGGTTTTGTCTTGGTTCAGAATTGTGTTCAGACCTGGGTTTAGTCCTGGTTTAGTCCGGTTTGTTAGACCTTGTTTGGATCTGGGTTTAGTCATGGTTTAGATCAGATTCAGACCTGGGTTTAAGCAGGAATTAGTCCTGGTTTAGGTCTGATTTCAATTTCGGTTAGACCTTGATTGGATCTGGGTTCAGACATGGTTTAGTCCTGGTTTAGATCGGTTCAGACATTCAGACATGGTTAGTCATGGTTAGGTCTTTGTGTTAGACCTAGTTAAATCTGGGTTTAGTCCTGGTTTTGTCTTGGTTTAGATCTGTGTTCATACCTGGGTTCTGACCTGTGTTCTGACCTGGGTTCAGACCTGGGTTTAGACCTGGGTTTAGACCTGGGGTTTAGACATGGGATTAGTCCTGGTTTAGTCCGGTTTTAGATTTGTGTTAGACCTTGTTTGGATCTGGGTTTAGTCATGGTTTAGATTGGATCTGAGATTCAGACCTGGGTTTAGGCAGGAATTAGTCCTGGTTTAGGTCTGATTTCAATTTCGGTTAGACCTTGATTGGATCTGGGTTCAGACATGGTTTAGTCCTGGTTTAGATCTAGGTTCAGACATGGGTTAGTACTGGTTTAGATCTGTGTTAGACCTTAGTTAAATCTGGGTTTAGTCCTGGTTTTGTCTTGGTTTAGATCTGTGTTCTGACCTGGGTTCAGACCTGGGTTTAGACATGGATTAGTCCTGGTTTAGTCTCGGTTTTGATTTGTGTTAGACCTTAGTAAAATCTGGGTTTAGTCCTGGTTTAGCCCTGGTTTAGATTTGTGTTAGACCTTGTTTGGATCTGGGTTTAGTCATGGTTTAGATCAGATTCAGACCTGGGTTTAGGCAGGAATTAGTCCTGGTTTAGGTCTGATTTCAATTTCGGTTAGACCTTGATTGGATCTGGGTTCAGACATGGTTTAGTCCTGGTTTAGATCTCGGTTCAGACATGGAATCAGACATGGGTTAGTCATGGTTTAGGTCTGGTTTAGATTTGTGTTAGACCTTAGTTAAATCTGGGTTTAGTCCTGGTTTTGTCTTGGTTTAGATCTGTGTTCTGACCTGGGTTTAGGCCATGGGTTTAGACCTGGGGTTAGACATGGATTAGTCCTGGTTTAGTCTCGGTTTAGATTTGTGTTAGACCTTGTTTGGATCTGGGTTTAGTCATGGTTTAGATTGGAGTTCTGACCTGGATTCAGACCTGGGTTTAGGCAGGAATTAGTCCTGGTTTAGGTCTGATTTCAATTTCGGTTAGACCTTGATTGGATCTGGGTTCAGACATGGTTTAGTCCTGGTTTAGTTCTGGTTCAGATTGGTTAGTACTGGTTTAGATTTGTGTTAGACCTTAGTTAAATCTGGGTTTAGTCCTGGTTTTGTCTTGGTTTAGATCTGTGTTCAGACCTGGGTTTAGTCCTGGTTTAGTCTCGGTTTAGATCTGTGTTAGACCTTGTTTGGATCTGGGTTTAGATTGGAGTTCTGACCTGGATTCAGACCTGGGTTCAGACCTGGATTAGTCCTGGTTTAGGTCTGATTTTGATTTCGGTTAGACCTTGGTTGGATCTGGGTTTAGTCTTGGTTTTGTCTTGCATTAGATCTGTGTTCAATTTATGCTTTTTATCCATTTTTCAATATCTATAAATTCATACCAAACATTAAATTATTATTATGTGCATGTAACGGCCTAGAATAAAAAAAAAAAAAAAAAAAAAAGCAGTATCAACATTTTTTCATTTTTACAAGAATAAATTAAACGGGACTTGGTTTACAGGACTAAACCCGGAGAGTCAGCGTTTTGGTTTTCTGCTGTGACTTTATTAAAATCCAGGCTCAAATCTGCTCTGTTTATCTGTGCAAATAACTGAAGGGTTTTTTATTTTGCTCTCTCCTCTTTTAATGTTAATTTTATAATGATTATTTATGTTTTGATTCGGTTGTGTATTTCTTTTTCTGTAAAGCACTTTGAATTACTTTGTACAAATAAACTCGCTTCGCCGGACTCACTGCAGTTTATTGGATTGTAAAATCTGGACAAACATTTGTTTTCAGTTATATAATACATTTTATACTTTTGGTTTTTGGAGAATTGGCAAGAAAATTTTATTCCTGTTTGGTCTAAACAATCCATACGCTTTAAATTAAGTTTACAGCCGCACTGCGTAACTTTTTGGTGTAGGGTTTCCTAACTGTGTGTCTCCATGGAGATTACTTTGCCTTAAACGTAAAGGGGCACTGTGTAAAGATAATACTCCCTACAACTACACGACAACTCACTCTTATGTCACAGATAATACTCCCTACAACTATACGACAACTCACTCTTATGTCACAGATAATACTCCCTACAACTGTATAACTCACTCTTATGTAACAGATAATACTCCCTACAACTGTACAACAACTCACCTTATGTAACAGATAAATACAACTGTACTCACCTACAACAACTAATACTCCTTATGTAACAGATAATACTCCCTACAACTGAACTCTTATGTAACAGATAATACTCCTACAACTGTACAACTCACTCTTATGTAACAGATAATACTCCCTACAACTGTACAACAATGTAACAGATAATACTCCCTACAACAACTCACCTTATGTAACAGATAATACTCCCTACAACTGTACAACAACTCACCTTATGTAACAGATAATACTCCCTACAACTGTACAACAACTCACCCTTATGTAACAGATAATACTCCCTACAACTGTACAACAACTCACCTTATGTAACAGATAATACTCCCTACAACTGTACAACAACTCACCTTATGTAACAGATAATACTCCCTACAACTGTACAACTCACCTTATGTAACAGATAATACTCCCTACAACTGTACAACAACTCACCCTTATGTAACAGATAATACTCCCTACAACTGTACAACTCACCTTATGTAACAGATAATACTCCCTACAACTGTACAACAACTCACCTTTATGTAACAGATAATACTCCCTACAACTGTACAACTCACCCTTATGTAACAGATAATACTCCCTACAACTGTACAACTCACTCCTTATGTAACAGATAATACTCCCTACAACTGTACAACTCACCCTTATGTAACAGATAATACTCCCTATAATTTATTATTACCATTTATATTTTCACTCTTTGTTATTATATTATATTATGAGGTGTGAGCGTCTGCGTCCAAATAATTTCCCGTGTGGATCAATAAAGTTTATTTAAGTCTAAGTCTAAGTAACTTTACTGGTGGAAGGTCGTCTAATCGTCTCCATGGAGATGCTATAGCTGAAATGTCCCATAGTATGGCATTAAACATCTGTCTCAATGGAGTCAAGCAGGTGATGCTACTAGGCCCAGTTACAGGTCAGATCTGCGGATAAGTGACTCTGCTCTCACTAACAATTCTTGTTTTTTAACAAATTAAAATGTACCATATTTTTCGGACTATAACTTGAACTTTTTTTCATGGTTTGTGCTGTTGCCACGTATATATTAAAATGTTGACACTGACAGCCACGAGAGGGCGCTCTAGTCTTGTGTACTGCTGTACCACTGTCACTTCGCTCTACTGCGCCTGTCGACTGCAGACGAAAGAGAAAGAGCCTCTGTCCTGTGCCTCAGAAGTGACACCGAGGATGAAGAATTGAATGGATTTAGTGATTTGGAGTGAGATGGAGAGTTTGTTAAACTTGTTCTGTTGTTTATGTTATAGTTTATCTGAAGAACTGTTCATATGTGACGTTAACAGTCTGTTGTTCTCTCTTCTGTTGTTTTTACTACAACTTGACTTTCACCAGGAAATGTCGGCTCCTGGTCTCTGATTTTATAAAATACATTTCCCCCCAAACTATGACTTATATATGTTGTGTTATGTTTTTCTTCTTCATTACGGATTTTTTGGCTGGTGTGACTTATACTCCAGAGCGACTTATAGTCCGAAAAATACAGCAATTGAATAAATGTAAGTTATACAAGTTTAATGCAGTACTAAGGAACATTCCACAGGGTTCCCACGGTCATGGAAATCCTGGAAAAGTTATGGAAGTTGAAAATGTCATTCTCTAGGCCTAGAAAAGTCATGGAATTTTGTAAATTCAATGAAAGTTTTATGGAATTTTAGTATCTCTTTCACGCAACTACATCGTTCTGTTAAGTTCTCATGAGTCTATTTTGATTATTTCTGAACGTCTGCACATTTTTGTTTCAAAGAGACGACAATAAATGCACCGACACGATTTTGAAAGTTAAAAAACGATAATATCAAACCATAAGGTGAGTGGAAAGAGTTCACATGTCATATTTAGCCCTAAAAGTCTGATCAATTCTACACATTTAGATGTTGTAAAGTCATGGAAAATTCACTTTAGGTCATGAAAAAGTCAAGTTTGGAAATTCTGTCATTGAAAAAGAGTGGGAGCCCTGATCAAAAAGCATTATGGAGACAAGAAAAGCTCCGTAGTGAACCTTTAATTACTGTTATTGTACACAACGACAAGGCTACAACCACGAAAAAATTAGGGGTGTGCAAAAATATAGAAATATCGATATATCGTATCGTTTAATGTGATGATACAGTATCGATATTGTGGGCTGCTGTATCGATATATCGCCATTGGTATTTTTTGGTATATTTTATAAAATAATTTTGTTACAGCGCTACAGTTTTGTTGCTTGTTTAGCGGAAGGAAACTTGTTTATGAGCTGCATTTCACATTTTCACTGTTTTTGATGATTAAAATGTTCGTGTTTCATATGAACTTTGCACAAGAAGCGGTTTAACAAAGACTTTTAGTATCACAGACATGATTTAATTTTTTATTGAACTGTATCGAATCGATTTGAAATATATCGTATCGAACCGAAAGTGCGCTGTATCGTGGTATGTATCGTAACGTGGCCTGTGTATCGAGGGATGTATCGTATCGGCGACTTCTTAATGATACCCAAGCCCTAGAAAATATATTGGTAAGTTTATTTTCACGTGAATTTTTTTAGACCCTCACCTGGAGCCGTCTGGACCCATGTGTGGATCCACCTCATGTTGCAGTCGCAGACCCAGGGGTTCCCGTGGAGAAACAGGTTCTCCAGCTGCGGCATCGTCTCCAGCACCTGCCCGGGCACCGCGCTCAGGCTGTTGTTGGACAGGTACAGGTGCTTCAGCGTCGACAGGTGGAAGCGGTCCAGGAGCCCAGGAGCGTGAACGTGGTGAAGGTGGACGGGTGCAGGCGTTTCAGGCGGTTTCCTTCCAGCTGTAGAAGTTTTAAGTTCGTGAGTCCGTGGAACGTGTCCGGGTCCAGGGACTCGAGGCCGTTGTGGTCCAGGTGGAGTCGGGTCAAAGACCAGAGACCCACGAACGTGTGACGGCTCACCTCACGAAGTTTATTATAACTCAACTTCAACATCTGCACAGAAGAAGAGGAAGAGTCATTAGTCCTGGTTTAGTCCTGGTTTAGTCCTGTCTTAGATCTAGTTTAGTCCTGGTTTAGTCATGTTTTAGATCTGGATACGGATATGGGCTCAGACATGGGTTAGTCCTGGTTTAGATTTAGTTTTGTACTGGTTAAATCCTGGTTTAGATCTGATTTAGTCCCGGATTAGACCTGGTTTAGATTTGGGTTAGACCTCAGTTGGATCTGGATTTAGACCTGGTTTAGTCCTGGATTAGTCCTGGTTTAGTCCTTGTTCAGATTTGGTTTAGTCCTGGTTTTGTCTTGGTTTAGTCCTGGTTTTGTCTTGGTTTAGTTCTGTGTTCAGACCTGGTTTAGTCCTGGTTTAGTCCTAGTTTAGTCCTTGCTTAGACCTGGTTTAGTCCTGGTTTAGTCCTGGTTTAGTTCTGTGTTCAGACCTGGTTTAGTCCTGGTTTAGTCCTAGTTTAGTCCTTGCTTAGACCTGGTTTAGTCCTGGTTTTGTTCTGGTTTAGTCCTAGTTTAGTTTTGGTTTAGACCTTGGATTAAGACCTGATTTAAACCTTGTTTATTCCTGGTTTAGATCTGGGTTCAGACCTGGGTTAGACCTAGTTTAGATTTGTGTTAGACCTTGACTGGATCTGGGTTTAGTCCTGGTTTAGTTGTTGTTCAGACCTGGTTTAGTCCTAGTTTAGTCCTGGTTTAGACTTATATTGCTCACAGGCTCCTGAAAATCCACTGTTTAAATCCATTTTATATTTTTTCTTTTAATTTTCAGACTTTTTTGTCAGTGTTTGCTCATGTTTACACAGTGTCACCATGGCAACTGCTGAAAATTCTACCATAACATCACCCCAAAGCTCAAACTCAATATCTATAAATTTAAACCAAACATTTAATAATTATGTGGATGTAATTTTGACTTTTTTTTATTGTATTTGTTCTCTACTCTGTTTTATCTTTTCTTAGTTTGAAAATGTTGTATTTGCTGAAAAAAGTTAATTTAGTTTTAGTTTTCGGTGTAATATAATAATTCTCTTTAATCCTCTTGAATAATGTGGGAAGTGAAAGTCAAATAAATACAACAGGAACTTTTACAAAATTAAAAATTGAAAATGTAATTACTTTCTTGTTTGGCTTCTTCTTGTATTTTTCTGATTGCTTTTGAGTTACTGAGAATAAAAAATGACTCCAGTGACTAAATAAAATAAACAGTGCGCGGGTTTTAGTGTTTTTCCTTCTCGGTTTTTACCTGCAGAGCTGAGAGGTCCTTGAACGCACCGTCAGGAAGGGAGTGCAGGTCATTCCCGTGGACCAGAAGTAACTCAAGTCGGGTCAGACCTGAGAGAGATTTCTCTGAGAGGCTGCTGATGCTGTTAAACCTGAGACAAGAAAGACCTGGTTTAGATCTGGTTTAGACCTGGTTTAGACCTGGTTTAGACCTGGTTTAGACCTGGTTTAGATCTGGGTTAAAGCGTTGGTTTAGATCTGGGTTAGTCCAGGTTTGTGGTCCAGACCTAAGTTAGTTCTGGTTCAGACTAGGACAAAACTACTACTACTACTACTACTACTACTACTACTACTACTACTACTACTACTACTACTACTGTACTACTACTACTACTGTCACTACTACTACTACTACTACTACTACTACTACTACTACTACTACTACTGTCAGTACTACTACTACTACTACTACTACTACTACTACTACTACTACTACTAACTACTGTACAATGCTGCTACTACTACTACTACTACTACTACTACTACTACTACTACTACTACTACTACTACTGTACTACTGTACTACTACTACTTGCTACTACTACTGTACAACTACTACTACTGTCAATACTACTACTACTACTACTACTACTACTACTACTACTACTACTACTACTACTACTACTACTACTGTACTACTACTACTACTACTACTACTACTACTACTACTACTACTACTGTACTACTACTACTACTACTACTACTACTGTACTACTACTACTACTACTACTACTACTACTACTGTACTACTACTACTAACTACTACTACTACTACTACTACTACTACTACTACTACTACTACTACTACTACTACTGTCACTACTACTACTGTCACTACTACAAGTACTACTACTACTGCTACTACTAATACTCCTTCTCCTACTACTACTGCTACTACTACTACTACTACTGTCAATACTACTACTACTACTACTACTGTCAATACTACTACTACTACTACTGTCACTACTACAAGTACTACTACTACTACTACTACTGTCAATACTACTACTACTACTACTGTCACTACTACAAGTACTACTACTACTACTACTACTACTGTTAATACTACTACTACTAATACTCCTTCTCCTACTACTACTGCTACTACTATTACTACAGCTACTATTACTACTACTCCTACCACTACTCTTACTCCTACTACTTCTGTTCCTGCTACTACTACTACCATCAGTACTATTAGCACTACTATTACTACTTCTGTCACTACTACCACTACTCCCTCCTCCTCCTCGTTGTTTTACCCGAGGTTGATCCTCTCGACGTGGGGCTGGATGTTGTGGGGCACAGACACCAGGGATCTGAAGGTGCAGTGGAGCTCTGTGGGCTGGGGACAGGCACAAGAGCGAGGACAGGGGGCGGCGGAGAGGCACAGGGACGCCGCGCTCAGGACGAGGAGAGGAAGAGAGAGCTGACGCCTGATTGGACCAGCCATGATGAGGGGGCGGGGCTTAGTTTTGCTGCAGTAGGATGATAAACAAGACAGAGAAAAGAGAATAAGTTAATAATTATAAATATATAAAAAAATAAAAGTGTTGTTCAGTACTAGAGGAAGCAGACTGGTGATCAGCACAGTGAGACTTTCAGAAAAACACTTTTTACATAAGTTTGACAAAGCTACAGAATCTTTAAAAGTCTTAGAACACACATTTTAGGACCTGCGTGAAGTTGCTGCATAAAGTTTTGTTTGTGCTGCTTTAATTTTTGAGATTTTAATGATTATTTTTTGGTCAAATTAGGGTCAGCCCCCCCCAGGAAGCTTCAAAATGCTCTAAAACGCCCCAAAATAGTGTCAATTGTTGCTTCATTTTTGCCGTTTTGTGCTGCAAAAAGTTTTGTTTGTTCAATTATGTTTCTTAAGATATTAGCGGTTTTATTTTCGGCCGATGACGTCACCCAGTAGCCACTCAGTTTCATTTCTCTCCAGCGACTAGGTCAGGAATCAGAATACACTAGACGGTTTGCAAGAATCCCGGAAGTTGAAGACCGCGCTCCAGCCAATCAGAGAAGAGCTGTGAAGCCATGACGTCAAACTCGTCGCGTCTGTCTGTGTCCCTTTTGTGGAACAGCACAACAGTAAACAAAGCGTCGAGACGGATGTAGACGAAGACAGACATTCTGTGTTGGCGACGATTCCCGAGATCGAGGATTTAAAGCCGGAACAAAGAGAATGTTTGGTGAATTTATCAAGGAGAAAGCAGCGATTGGTTAAATAAAAAAACTGTTGAGCGAACGAATCCTAATGCTGCGAGGTCAGACGGTTTCTATGAAGTGAAACTGGCTGAAAATTAGTCATCCAGGCAGTAAATTATACAAATCGTTCGTATTTTGTTTGTGCTGTTTTGTGCTGTGACAGTTTTCATTTGTGCCAGTATATTTCTAAAACTAATCATTATTTTTGCGGACATTATATGACGTCATTTCTGCTCAGCTGACATCATCGGCCAAAAAATAAAAGTGCTAATACCTTAAAGGTTGTATAGAGGATTTTTTTAAGGGAAGAGAAATACAGCGACAGTCCTTGTGCGCATTCAGAATTACTGTTGAAGTTTCCTGTCTAGAAGTAATTCAGCGACCGACGCGTCAGTTTTTAGACCCTTCGTCTGCTTCGGTCGCGCCATCGCTGGACGAGATCTCCAAGAATCACCTCAGTTTGGCTTTGCTCCTTTTCCTCTTCTCTTCTTCTTTCAGCGACCTCAAAAACGGACTTTCTTTTGCGGCGGATTCTTCTCGTCCGCCGTCGCGACAAACTGTGCGAAATGCGAGTCAGTTACACTAGGGAGTTTGATTGACAACCTAACAGCCAATAGAAAATGAGGGAGCCTCGTTTTCTATTGGCTGTTGTTTATCTGGCCTCAACACGTCCACAGTTGATAGATTTTTGTTCTCTTTTTTTTTTGGTCATCATAATTACAAAGCTGCTGCGTCTCTGTAACGGTGTTTTAATCTTTCACTGACAATTTGAAACAAAAAAAAAAATCCTCCATACAACCTTTAAGAACCATAAACGCACAAATGAAAACTTTTTTGCGGCACGAAACAGCACGAACAGTTAAAACGATTTGGGACGTTTTTGAACATTCTGAAGGAAGATCTGCTCGTCTCCATGGAGATGCTGTTGCTGAAACGTCATTACGGCGTTAAACATCGCTCCTAGGCCAAGTTACAGGTCAGATCTGTGGACACGTGACCCTGCGCTCAGTAAAAATCCATGTTTACTGGAATAAACGCAAGCAAAGCCGTAACTTCTCCATGGATACAAGCAGATTAGTTCCGCAGAGATCCATGGGCGTGTACTAACAATAGTCTGTGTGCTCTAGTTTAAATTCTGATTAAAAGATTCCAAACAAAGCGTAAACATCTCCATGGAGACGAGCAGACACAAGTGAAGTTACACAGTGCACCTTTAAAATAGACCTACTTTATTACATTTAGAGTTATTAATACTTTTGACAATGTGGTTTAGTTAATAAAGTGGTTTAAAGTCAGTAAAAGGCGACTGTTAAAGCTGATTTAGACATTTTTATTTTCCTTGGCTGCGCTAAAAACGACAAAACGACCCATTACAAACTCACAACCACTGTTAAAAGCTACAGTGTGTAACTTTCTGGAGGTTTTGTGTCACACGAGGGATTCCATGGAAAGTTAAAACCACACTTGCTTTTTATGCCACTGTGGAATTATATAAACAAAGGAGCAATGGAAACAAGCAGGAGGACGCCAAACGAGAGCCGGGTTTGTGGAGATGCGAGCTCGCCCACAGTAAAGACGCAGCCAGAATGAAAACAAACAAACAAAAGAACGTTTTACTTTAATGTTTTGATTTTTTGAGGGATGAAAGTTTACATACTGTGGCTTTAAGGGAGCATTTCTTCTGCATTTGACACAAGCTGAATTATAGTTAGTGCCTGGATTTAATTCAACTATTTTAAAACTGAAAATTCTGTTTAAAAGGATCTATATTTGAAGACATATTTTGAAGATAGGACACTTTTTTGCTTTTAAAATACCTTCACAAGATTTTGGTGTGAATTATTTCCATCATAATCCCAATAATTCAAGTAAAAAACATATTTCTTCATGTTGTCTGCGCTGAAATGAATCATGGGATATGTAGTTTCGATGTTTATATTATTATTGTTGCATCCCTAACATGTACTATATAAATTACCGTATTTTTTTGACTATAAGACGCACTTTTTTTCATGGTTTGGGTGTTTCCTGCGACTTATATATTAAAATGTTCCACACTGACAGACAGGGGGCGCTCTAGTCTTGTGTGTGAGTATCTGCTGCTCCTGTTCCTCCTGTACCACCGTCGCTTGGCTCTACTGCGCATGTCTCCTGCAGAAAGAGCCTCTGTCCTGTCTGTAACGTGTCTACGGAAGCCGAGAGATGTCGCAACAAACGCAAACGCCGCAACAGACACAAATGCGACAACACAACAAAAAGCCACAACACACCAAAAAAAGCCACAACGGAAATGACCGCGGGACTCTATTTTAACGCAAACGCCACAACAAATACAAACGCCACAACACAAACGCAAACGCCGCAACACATTAAAAAGCCACAACACATCAAAAAGCCACAACGGAAGTGACCACGGGACTCTATTTTCCAACGGACCGATCGAGCGACAAGTGAAAAGAAAAGGAACGGAGAAGTTGGAAACGTAAGTAAAAGTAATTTATTGTTTTATCATTATTCGTTTCACGTTGTAGTTCTTCTTCTTCACTTGCCGCTTGATCAGTCCGTCGGAAAATAGAGTCCTGCGGTCACTTCCGTTGTGGCTTTTTGATGTGTTGTGGCTTTTTAATGTGTTGTGGCTTTTTAATGTGTTGTGGCTTTTTGATGTGTTGTGGCTTTTTAATGTGTTGTGGTTGTTGTGTGTGTTGTGGCTTTTTAATGTGTTGTGGCTTTTTTGATGTGTTTGGCTTTTTTAATGTGTTGTGGCTTTTTGATGTGTTGTGGCTTTTTAATGTGTTGTGGCTTTTTGATGTGTTGTGGCTTTTTAATGTGTTGTGGCTTTTTGATGTGTTGTGGCTTTTTAATGTGTTGTGGCTTTTTGATGTGTGTTGTGGCTTTTTGATGTGTTGTGGCTTTTTAATGTGTTGTGGGCTTTTTGATGTGTTGTGGCTTTTTAATGTGTTGTGGCTTTTTTGATGTGTTGTGGCTTTTTAATGTGTTGTGGCTTTTTGATGTGTTGTGGCTTTTTAATGTGTTGTGGCTTTTTTGATGTGTTGTGGCTTTTTGATGTGTTATGGCTTTTGCATTTGTGTTGTGGCGTTTGTATTTGTGTTGTGGCGTTTGTATTAAAATAGAGTCCCGCGGCCATTTCCGTTGTGGCTTTTTTTGGTTTGTTGTGGCTTTTTGTTGTGTTGTCGCATTTGTATTTGTTGCGGCGTTTGCGTTTGTTGTGACCCCTCTCGGCTTCCGTACATGTCAGTCGATCGCACCGTTACTTCTGCACCACTGAACAATTTAACATTTAAACAAACTTATAAAGACGACTGAGAAACTGAACACAAACGCCCCCAAAAGCAAAATCAGATTCTGCAGATCACAAACTGAAAGTCGCTGAAAACGATAATCGAGCAGCAGAAAGAAAGTTTGGATTTAGAGAGAAACTTGTAACACCGGGAGGATGCACCTTGAAACTTTCCTGAAGTCACTGGATGGATGGACAAAGCCTGGACTTCAGTGACACCGAAACCATCCTGTCGGGATTCAGAAAGACCCGAATAATTCTAACTGGAACTGATGCTGAGTCTAACGACAGAGGATTTTGTCGAAGTTACTATCGCCAACTGAACGCAAAGGAAGTCGTCATCAGCATGTTTCCAAACGTCTCCTGGTTTTGTGTCGTAAGCGTGAAAAGATCCAATGCACTGAAAAACATGTGTCCGTACGGTGAGCGAGCTGGCATCACCACAAACCTGCTTCTCCTTGTTTCTATAGAAATGTTCTTGGCATAAAACCTCCATGGAGAATATTCCGAAGTGTGGATATGCCACCTCCAGAAAGTTACACACTGTGCTGTTTAAGAACGACATGAAAACTATAAGCGGCGATGACGTCTCTAAATTGTAAACAGTGATTAAAATCTTACACAATTTACCGTCAGGTCGTGGAGTTGCTCAGAAGTGACACCGAGGATGAAGAATTGAATGGATTTAGTGATTTGGAGTGAGATGGAGAGTTTGTTAAACTTGTTCTGTTCTGTTGTTTATGTTACAGTTTATCTGAAGAACTGTTCATATGTGACGTTAACAGTCTGTTGTTCTTCTCTTCTGTTGTTTTTACTAGAATTTGACTTTCGAAATTAAATGTCAGTTCCTGGTCTTTGAATTTATAAAATAT